ATATATATATATATATACACATGAAATTTAAATATCAATTTCCTTTTCTTCAAATTTTATTTTAAAAAATGGGTCATGAAATTCTGCTATCTTCTGTAATAATAATATCAAGAATTCACTAAAAACTTCACATATAGATGTAATAAAAAATTTAATACATTGCAAATGTTATTTTAAAACAAAATTTTACCATTCTTGCTGATATCAAGTTGCTCCAAATTAATGAGAGAAGCAATTGCAGGTGGAAGTGTTTGAATCTCGTTGTCACTTAAATTTAACTTTCGTAGGCCATGGCAGTGGAATAAAGGCTAAAAACAAAGATATTTTTTAAATATTTAAAAACTTGTAAATATACAACTAAGAAAAAGAAGGTCCAGTAAAATAGCATCTAAAATGAGGATTTCTATTTAAGAGAGAAAAGAATATTTGAAAAACAAGACTATACATACAATAGTTTGCAGATATAAAATTCAACATGAAAGTGGACGGTGATTTTTGTAAATTTTCAGCTCAATGTTATTGTCTGCTCTGCATTATTTATTATTGTTTCCCAGTATAAATTCACACTTTTTTCTTCAAAACAAACCTTCACAATTTTTATTTATTTAACTTTTTTTTTTCGATCTTGCCAAACAAATTCAGAAACTCACTTTACTTCAATTATTTTACTAAAAACTTTTTGAATTAGAAAATGAAAGACATTTAGATACTAATATGAAATTTGCATAAAAATGCAGTAAAATTATTCATTTTTTATTTAAAACAAGAACAGTAAAAAATATTAACTACACAAGTTTTTGGAATTATTTATACGTAAGTAAAAAGTATAAATTTTAGTCCCCAAAAAACAACCATGATTTTTTCACTTTATGTAAAAAGTAATCAAAATTCCGATAGGCGATAATATAATACATAAATTCTGCTAGTAACATTTGAGAAAGAATAGTAGTAACTTGCATTGTAATCAGGTACAATGCTCCAGTTGAAATTTAAGCACTCTAGATCATGAGAATGCGATCAAAATTTCGCATTTCATATATTAAATATTTGTAGGCAGAAAAGCAAAAAAAAAAATTTGAAGGTGAAAAGGTTTTTGGTTTGAAGGTTTTTTTTTCAAATTCATTTTTTGAAAAAAAAAAAAAAAAAAAAAAATTTTTGGAATAACAAACCAAAAACATGAATTAACCAAAAACATTATTCAAACATGAATTAATATTTCTTAATTATTTCCTTACATTTAACATAAATTCGTCTTCTTAAAGTTGTGAAGTAGTTACAACAATTCCAAAGTAGTTTGTAATTATTGCATTTAAAAAAAAAAGTAGTTGTAATTAGCTACATTTGTAACACAAAGTAGTTGTAGATAGCAAACAACAAAAATAATGTAGTTTTTACAACCGCTGGTCAGTAAGTAATAGGAGCAGAACTCCATATGAAATCTAATCTAGGTAGTCTAGAATGTCTAGTAGCTAGTCTAGAAATTTCGATCGACAATAAATTTTATTTGGTGATAAATTGAAGATTTTGCTTGAAGCAGTCAAAAAACGATTAAATGCTAGACTACCATGTAGAACAGAGCATTATTCAAAATTAGAGTGCTCTAGCTAATCAGAAAGCTGCGGGAATTCTGATTGACAACATATTACTTTCGGCGATAATATCGCTATTAATTCTGCGTGGCTTGGTCAAGAAACGAATGAAACTTGTTTTATCATCTAACAGAATCGTCGAATTTTAATTGACCGTAAATTACGCCTTCCGATAATAACGCGACAAATTCTACAAGCAGGAATATATTGAAACTTGGATTGCCAAGAAGCACGGAATTCCAGTAGTAAAGTAAGTGCCTAAGCTAGTCGGAAAGAGGTCAAAAAATGCGAATGTTAGTCTTCCGAATTGGTTTAGACAATGGTTCTTTTGTCACCTTATCATACGGTATATTTTTAGAAACGTTTCCACATTATCAATGTCTAACTTTCTATTCAAATAACATAAAGTAATTTTCCAGGGAGATAGAGCATTCGCCTTCCAAAGAGGCGAACCGGGTTCGAATCCCAGTCGATACGAATTCCGCATCCGGCTTGCATCGACCACAGTGCTGACGTGAAATATCCTCAGTGGTAGACGGATCATGGGTTAGAGTTCCCTTGCCGTTAGGTTAACCGTGGGAGTTTCTCGTGGTCTTCCTCTCCATGTAACGCAAATGCGCGTTAGCTCCATCAAAAAGGCCTCCACGAAGGCAAATTTATCCCAATACTCGATCCAGGAGTTCTCTTGTCTTCTGCATTGGGTTCAAAATTACAAGGCTGCGCATTTGGACATTGGTAGTCGTAAACCCATAAAATTGGGTCGGTGGTTCAACTGCGGTTATAAAAAAAAAATTATGAAGTTTGCAAAATGTGCAAAATATTAAAACTAATTTTTATCTCCTTTCTGCCTATTAAAAAAAAGTTATATAGCTATTACTATGAGAAAACACGATACACATAAATAAAATGAAATTGCAAAAACAAGATAAAGGTTACCCTTGGAAGATCTTTTATTTGATTGGCATCGAGAAAAAGTTCTTCAAGCGTCCGCTCATATCCGAACACCTCATTTGGCACATCATCCAAGTTCGAATGACTGTATTCTAATAGTCGAACATCGTCGTTCTCAGGACGGAGGCAAGGACAGTGACGAAGCACTGGGGCCATACCACCCTATGCAAAAGAAAGAAAATACTTTTAGATTACTTACTGGTTTTCATATTGTGTCCTTCGACTTTATGTAGATACACAGAGAAATATAGCTAATAAATAAGAGGAAAGAGGAATAGACTAATACAGCAATTCCCAATTGGTGTTCCGTGGAGCCTAAGGTTCCGAGATCTAGGATTTTTCTTTTTTCTATAACATTTTTGAATCAATCAATAATCCATTAATTATTTCATATTTCGATTGCTTTCATGAAATCGTTTTAAATAAAATTCTAATGAAAAAGAAATGATATTTTTTTGAAACCTAATTTTTCTCGTAACAATATATCGAGAAATTTATGAAAAGCATCTGATTGCGCTTAACGAAATTTGTCAACAAAGATATGTGTCATGTAATAACTCTTTTCAACGTTTATAGCAATTTTCATTTCAAGAGAAGACTTAATGCTGCGTATTTTGTTCATTTTCAGCTTTATTTACACCAATTCATATCTATGTTAGATTCAACTCTAGGACTGCGAATTCAATTGACTATCGGACATAAAACGAATTTAAGACTATTAATGATATATTTATGTATTTGTAACCATCTTTAAACACCGACCCGAATATTTGGGTTTAAGACTACTAATATTCAACTCCGTAGCCCTGTAATTTTGAACCCAATACAGAAGACAAGGGAGCTCCTAGATCGAGTATCGCGAGAAATTTCACCTTCGTGGAGAACTAACAAGATGGAATTAACCCGCGTTTGCTTTACATGGAGAGAAAAACCACGAAATTCTTCCATGGTTAGCTTGACGGCAAGAGGCCTCTAATCCGTGATCCGTCTACCACTAAGGACATTTTTACGTCAGTACTGTGAACGGTGCGAGCCGGGTGAGCGATTCATATCAACCAGCCATCGCTAGGATTCGAACCCAGTTCGCCTCATTGGAAGGCGAACGCTCTATCTCCTGAGCCACCACAGCTCGGCTTATCATTATTTTATTGTTCTAAACCCTTCAGTTAGAAACTATAGTTTCTCAATAAATAGCTCATTGTTGTCCAAGTGTGCGCATTCATAATAAATGTCCGACAAGTCAAGATTACTACGAGTCAATATTAAACATTGTTAAATTATATCTAAAATTTATGTTTAAAATTAATATCAATAGATGGCGCTGTGCCAATTATTTACTTTCTCATATTTGCTATATTATTATTCCCTCTTGTGCTGTCCATATGAAATAAACGTTTCGTTTCTCCTGAGTCATATTTATTTGGGTATCCAAGTATCTTTAGAGTACAGATTTAATAACATTAAGTAAAGTACTTTTTAGATGGATATCGAAATCTCTACAGTTAGATAAAAAATAATGAAATATCGTGATTGACGTCCTAATGGTATATAATTTTTCTTTTTTAACGATTCGTATAGTGAAAGAAATGAAAGAGGCAATAATACGTCATAAGGAAAATGAACCAATATATCTAAACGACAACTTAAATTGATACTCAGAATTCTAAGCTTTAGTTTTCACTGAAATAAACTGCCTTTACTTTATCAAGATCCGTGTTCCTTCATGGATTGTTCAAAAAACTTACATCGTTCCATTATATTAATTGATCTAAAAACATAAAATTGTGGACAAATAGTGTTTTTTGCAAGGCAATACAGGGCCTGATTGGTAGTCTGATTGGTAAGGCGTTGGCTCTATGCCCAAGAGGTCGTGACTTCGTAGCAAATGGTGACTGGTGCACGTTAAATCTATCGGGTTACAAAGTCCTCGATTTTCCCATTATTTTTTTTACCTCTGGGGGTACTGAATTGGAGATTGATCGTTCTCTGGTTCAGGTCAAAATTACGATCTATGGATGAATGAATGGAGCATGAATGGATCCGTCCTATAAAAGGGCTGCGACGTGTGTGTGACTGAAGTCGTATTTCAGGCCATAGATGGATCCACAAAAAAAACAAGAAACGCACCCTCTGCTTTAAATTCGCTTGGTTTAACCAAGCAGGCTTGCTGGTATTGGCAAATGGCATTAGAAACAACAAAAAGGCAATATTACACATTAATTCATAAACAAAACCACAATTATTAAATATATGGTATTTTTCTGGGTAGTTATAAATTTCATTGGCTAAAAAAGGAAGGAAACGAGGCGATTGAATGTGCATTGCAATTGGTCTACAATTTCTCGCTCTTTTTTTTAAAGAAATTGTTGTGTAAGGAATTAATGAAACTGCATTACGTGAAAAAGAAAAATGCACCAAGTTAACTGAAGCAACACTCATGTTGGACTCAAGTAATCCTAGAACTCGGTTCTAGAGCTCAAGTAACTCCCGTTTATCACTAAAATACCCTGTTTTTACTTTATCAAAATCGATGTTGCACCGAAAGGGCTTAAAGAAACTGTTTACGTTAATCCACATTTAATTTTTCATGGACTTACGAGGAATAATAGCGTGTGGAATAATAGTTTTTTCCTCTTCCTTTTTTTAAAGCAAATATCACACTATCAATGCCACAATTATTGAAAGTAAAGTAATTTTCATACGCAGTTTTAAATTTTCACAATTAGGTAAGAATAAAGAAACGAGGCGATTAACGTCGTAACAATCCAGCATTTCTTTTTTCCTTGAAGGAATTGTAGAGTAAGGAATGAATGAATGAGTATTTCGTAATGGGGAAAAGTAAATCTGAAAGAATTTTAACATACTAGAACTGAACTAGCTCATGTTTATCACTAAGATTTCCTGGTCTTATTATATCAGGATCCGTGGTGCACCATGAAGGCTAAAAAAATCTTTTACATTCAGGGGTTTGTCCAGACATTTTGTGAAAGGTCGTGAAATTGTGAAAAAATTACTCACATTCTTTCAACCAGGGTCCGTTTTTATGAATTTGTGCAAATAGGGTCCGTTATTGCAAAAAAAAAAACTTTTTCAAGGAGTTTTTAAATTGTAAAGACATACAAGATTATGCTCAACACTGTAAAATTATAATTAAAAAAATTAAATTTTAAAAAATAAACAACAATTGCTGCTTCTAAATTAGAGATGCAACATACAAATATTTGGTATTTAGCCTATACTGCTGAACGCAGAATATTCATTTCGGACGAATAATGGAAGAATCGTCTGCCGAAGACAAAACTTAATTCGTTTACATCCATCTTTCTTGTTTTCTGCCCTGGAAAGGGTTTATTCGATTAACAAAATAATAATGAAGATAAACAAATTTGTGAAGGGTCCGATTAAAAGAAAAATCATTTTGTGAAGGGTCCGTTTTTAAGTTAAAATATTTTGTGAAGGGTCCGTTTTTATGAAAAGATATTTTGTGACCCAAATTTCTTCTAAACAGATCCCTGACATTACATCACATTTTTCATAGACATGCAAGTGTGGACCAAAAGTTTTTTTTTTCTCCTTCCTTTCTTAAAAAATAAGGCAATATCATACCTTAATTCCCAATCAAAACCACAATCAATTAAAATAAGGTCATATACAGACAAAATTTTAAATTTCTACTACTAGATAAAAAAAAATAAAGAAACGAGGCGACTGACGTCGTAATAATCCAGCATAATTTTTTTCTCTTTTTGTTAAAGGAATCGTAGTGTAAGGAATGAATGAACCAGTATTACGTCATAGGGAAAAATGAACCAAGAAACGACGTCATAGTTACGTAGGGTCCACGAATTTCATCTCGTGTTGAGAGAGGCTAGAAAAATGGTCGATAAATCGATTCCAGCCTCATCTCAAAAGCGTATTACTATTCTCCCATTTCTATTCTATCCTATTCCTTCCAGACCAATATGTATGTGGTAGAAAAGATCTTAAGAGAAAAATGGTCTGGCAGCCAAAAAAACACACGAAATTGATTTCTTTCACTTCGATTGGCTATCTTCTTTCCCACTTATTTCAGTAGCTGTTGCACCACGCGCCTATGTTTTCGATCACTCTTTTATCTAGGGTTTGGAATAAAAATCGGTTTCAAGAAAAATAAAATTATTTTGGAATAAACTTTTTTCTTTTCTTTGGTCCTTATAGCTAAGAGGATTTTAAACTTTCTGTAGGTTGTAATAAAGTGTATAAGTTATCTGTTTTTTCAAATAAATGTATTCTAAATTTAAAGCATTTAGGCAAACTTAATTCAAAACAATACATGCTAACAAGATTTACAACAACTTTTACTTTCACTTTTGATCTAATGTTTGAATCTTTACGTTCTAAGACTCAATCTTAATGGCTTGAGAGGGTAACCTCTGTTGTAATTAATAATTGCAGACGATATTCTAAATTACGAAATCAGACACAAAAACTTAGCTTATTTTGACGCAAGCAAATTCACAATTTTTCGTGAATTTATTATAAATCCTTTGAAATTTTACTTGAAACTTGTATCTATCTTAGAAAAAATATAATTATCTTCTTTGACTTGTTATTTGTTAAGTAAATCTTTTAAAATTTAGGTTAGTTCTAAGTTTTTGAAATGTAGTATTTCTTGTTGATGTAATAAAAAAAAAAATTTAGAAATTCTAACTTAATCATGAAATTTATCAAAAAAATATATCAATAAATTGTATATTTAACTTTAACCATGTAAGTAAAATAAATAGATAAAAATTTGAGAACGTTACAGGAAAAAAGAACATTTTTCCTAAAAATGTTCTTTGAAAATCTGCGAGAGTATATTGACAGTAAAATTGTGATTTATATGAATTTTAACTTACGCTTAAGTTAATAAATAAGCATGCTTTAAGAACATGCAGAAAAAACGACTAAAAAACACTATTTTTAAGTGAAAATAAAAAAAAACTATTTATTAGAAAATAAAAAAAGAGTTGTGGAATAGCAATAATTCTTCATAATAATTTCTATTGTGTAAAGTAAGACTGTGCATGCAGTGAGGGGAAAAAAAGGGACCACCTTAAAATTAACTTTTGATCTAATAATTGAATCTTCATGTTCTAAGACTCTATCTTAATGGCTTGACGGGGTAACCTCAAATATGA